TTCATATAATCCCTTTCATCTAGTATGAGGTTGGAGCGGCTCAGTCCTTTGGGGAGGGTAGAATCTGAGGTCGAAGAAGATGGAGCGGCTGTTCGAATCAGTGGTAAAAGAGGAGATGAATCGGCGGTAGGTGCTGGTTCGAAGATGGTGAAGGATGGGGTGGCTGATGACGACGAAGTATGGTGGCGGTTGGTTGCTGATCGGAGAGGTGAGCCAGCGTGGTGAGCATTGAGGAGATGAGCAGCGGTGGTTTGAGGATGTCGGCTTGAAGAGGTGAGAAGTTGGTCGCCGTGATAAAGGAGGAGAGGGGGTCAGGGCGGCGTTGAACTGAGATGGGGCGGAGTTCCAGTGGTAATCAGCGATGAAAAAGGGGGCGGCGGTCGGAGATGATGGTGAAGGGTGAAGGCGGAGTTTGGGGGATCAGGTGTTGAGAGATGAGAACGGCGGCGCTGAGCTTGGCTTGAGGGAGGCGGCGTCGAGTTGGTGTCTGGAAGCGGCGGTGTGGAAGGCCGGCGATAGAGGGGAAGACGAGGTTGGTCGGGTTCGTGGTCGGAGGTCGAAGATAAGTGGATGGGGCGCGGTGATTTGTGGATGGGGGGGGGGGGCTGAATGATTTGGAACGAAAGAGAAGGGGAAGGAGTTTTGATACTAGATCAGCGGGGATGGAAGAAGAGGTTTTTTTTTTTTTCGAACTATGACGGGTGTGGCATACCCAGGTGTTGGTAAGTCTGTATCTTTTTTCCTAGTGGACCGTGGGTGTGGTGTATGGGTGTGGTAGAGTCTGTTATCCCATTTCAACTCTTTTTTCTGCAGTTTTTTTTTTTTGAAAGAATTGTTCTCCCTTCTCCTCACCTGCATGATTGAAAATGTTATAAGTTAAATTTATGCCGATCCAATTGCCTAAAAAAATAAAATAAAATAAAATAAAATAAAATAAGATAAATAAAATGGATGAAAACTTGGGTTGCCTCCCAAGAAGCGCTCGTTTATGGTCTTGAGCTCGACCCCTTTTTGCGCTTAATTATCCGACGAAGGGGGATCGGAAAGGGTATAAGTGACCCCTTTCTCGTGTTGTTCCCCTACAATGTAATGCTTCAATCGTTGCCCATTCACCTTGAAAGATCCCGTTGTTTCACTCCAAACTTCAACAACTCCACTAGGAAAAACCTCACGGACTTGAAAAGGTCCGGACCACCGAGATTTGAGTTTGCCCGGAAAAAGCTTCAAACGAGAGTTGAAAAGTAGCACCATATCTCCTTGATTAAACTCTCTTCGAAGAATATTCTTGTCGTGCCATCGTTTAGTCTTTTCTTTATAAATGCGAGCATTCTCATAGGAATCTAATCGTAGCTCATCTAGCTCATGAAGTTGAAGCTTTCTTTTCTCACCTGCGGTCTTCATATCGAAATTGAGCAGTTTGATAGCCCAATACGCCTTATGCTCTAACTCAACTGGGAGATGACACGATTTGCCATATACCAATTTGAATGGTGTCATACCTATGGGTGTTTTGTAGGCAGTTCGATAGGCCCATAAGGCATCCGTGAGTTTCATAGACCAGTCCTTTCTCGAACGATTAACTGTTTTCTCCAAGATACTCTTGATTTCACGATTCGAAACCTCCACTTGACCACTAGTTTGAGGATGATATGGCGTGGCAACCTTATGGGTGACCCTATATTGTCTTAAAAGAGCTTCGAATTTTCTTTCAATGAAGTGTGAACCTCCATCACTGATTACCGTCCGTGGCACCCCAAATCTTGGAAAAATAACGTTCTTGAATAGTTTCACAACAACTTTAGCATCGTTGGTGGGGGATGCTATCGCTTCTACCCATTTGGAGACGTAGTCCACCGCCACTAAAATGAACTTGTTGTTACACGATGACGGAAACGGTCCCATGAAATCTATGCCCCACACATCAAAGACCTCAATTTCCAAGATGGAGTGTAAAGGCATCTCATGTCGCTTCGAAATGTTCCCGGTCCTCTGACAATTATCACAAGATTTCACAAACTGATTTGTATCCCGGAAAAGACTCGGCCAATAGAAACCTGATTGTAAAACTTTTGCAGCTGTCTTTGAAGTGCTTGCATGTCCCCCGTAGGAAGATGAGTGACAATGATGGAGAATACTGGCAACCTCATCTTCAGGAATACACCTTCTGAACATCCCATCAACACACCGTTTGTATAGAAACGGTTCATCCCAAAAATAATATTTCAAGTCAGCAAAGAACTTCTTCTTCTGTTGATAGCTCAGATCCGGAGGTAAGACTCCACACACTATGTAATTGACGAAGTCCGCATACCATGGTGCATCCAATCTTTCTATGGCTAACAATTGATCATCGAAAGAGTCGTCGATCGGTAGTTCATCCTCCTTATCTTGTGATTCTTGCTTCATCCTCGACAAATGGTCTGCCACCAAATTTTCTGTCCCTTTCTTGTCCTTGATCTCTAGGTCAAATTCTTGCAAAAGTAGTATCCATCGGATCAACCTAGGCTTGGCATCTTGCTTGCTCAAAAGATATTTGATGGCGGAATGATCGGTATAAACGATGACTTTGGAACCCACTAAGTAAGACCTGAACTTGTCAAAGGCGAATACAACTGCTAATAGCTCCTTTTCAGTGGTAGCGTAGTTAACTTGGGCTTCATCAAGAGTGCGACTAGCATAATAAATTGCATGAACTATCTTGTTCTTCCTTTGGCCCAACACAGCACCAACCGCATAATCACTTGCATCAGTCATGACTTCAAATGGGAGATTCCAGTCCGGCGGTTGCATAATAGGAGCTGTTATCAATACTTCTTTTAACCTGCAAAAAGCATCAAGACATTCATCAGTGAAATCAAATGTAGCATCTTTAAGAAGAATGTTAGTTAAGGGTTTTGAAATTTTTGAGAAATCTTTGATGAAACGCCGATAGAAACCGGCATGTCCCAAGAAACTTCTTACTCCCCTAACCGACGTTGGTGGAGGTAATTTTTCAATGACTTCCACTTTTGATTGATCAACCTTAATTCCGCGCTCGGATACCTTGTGCCCTAGAACTATTCCATCCCTTACCATAAAATGATATTTCTCCCAATTTAGGACTAAATTAACTTCTTCGCAACGCTGCAACACTCGAGACAAGTTAGATAAACAACCATCAAAAGTAGTTCCATACACGGAGAAGTCATCCATAAACACGTCCATAATATCCTCTATAAAATCAGAGAAAATGGCCATCATACATCGTTGAAAAGTGGCGGGGGCATTGCAAAGACCAAAAGGCATGCGCCTATAAGCAAAGGTCTTATAGGGACATGTAAAAGTGGTCTTTTCCTGGTCACTAGGATGGATAGGAATTTGGAAAAATCCTGAATAACCATCTAAATAACAAAAATATGAATGCCTAGCCAACCTTTCCAACATCTGGTCTATAAAGGGAAGTGAAAAATAATCTTTTCGGGTTGCCTTGTTCAATTTCCTATAATCAATACACATCCTCCAACCCGTAACCATCCTAGTAGGGATAAGTTCGTTATTTGCATTCTTAACTACGGTCACACCTCCCTTTTTAGGAACCACATGAACCGGGCTAACCCATTCACTATCAGAAATAGGATAGATTACCCCAGAATCTAGTAGCTTAAGCACTTTCTTTTTAACCACTTCTTTCATGTTAGGATTTAATCTACGTTGGTGTTCTATAGAGGGTTTATGATCATCTTCCAAGAGAATTCTATGCATGCAAATTGATTGATTAATTCCCTTAATGTCGTTCATGGTGTATCCTATGACCTTGCGATGCATCCTAAGTGTTCTAAGCAACTTATCAGTTTCATTTTCATTCAGACATGCATTCACAATCACAGGATAAGTAAAATCAGGGCCAAGAAATTCATACCTTAAAGAGGAAGGGAGGGGTTTTAATTCTACCTTTGGTGCATTATCCTCTTCACAAATAGAACCTTTTGGCTCTAGCATCAATCTTTCAAGCTTTGCATTTCGAAGTGGAGCAGTTGATGTTGATTCTAAAGATTGAGCATACGCGGCTACCTCAGGGTCTTCATCATTTATTGAACCATCACTTACCAAACATTTCTCAAGTGGATCCGCTGAGTTATTGTTTGCAAATTGCTCATGTGTACACTTGTCAATGACGTCGACCCTGTAACAAATTTTATCAGTTAGAGGGAGTTTCATAGTATTGCTTAAATCAAATTCTACTGTCTCCCCTCCAATATTTAGAGAAAGCCTTCCATTTTTAACATCAATTATAGCACCTGCAGTAGCAAGGAAGGGTCTTCCTAATATAATTGGTATGTTAGAATCTTCTTCCATTTCTAAAATAACGAAATCAACCGGGATAAAGAACTTACCGACCTGGATAGGTACATCTTCAAGTATACCTACCGGATATTTTACCGATCGATCCGCCAGTTGGAGTGATATCGTGGTTGGCTTCAAATCTCCTATGCCAAGCTTCTTATAGATGGACATTGGCATCAAACTTACGCTTGCACCTAAATCACACAAAGCACGGTTAATAGAGACATTACCAATAACACAAGGAATAGAAAATGAACCTGGATCCTTAAGCTTAGGAGGCAGCTTATTCTGGATGATAGCACTACACTCCTCAGTAAGGGCCACAGTCTCGTATTCTTCCAACTTCTTTTTGTTAGATAGGATCTCTTTCAAGAACTTAGCACAAGAAGGTATTTGAGAGATAGCTTCAATGAACGGGATATTGATGTGCAACTTTTTCAAAATCTCCAAAAATTTTCCGAACTGTTTTTCTAACTTAGCCTTAGCTAACCTTTGGGGAAAGGGTAGAGGAGGCTTGTAAGGAGCGGGGGCCACATATTTCTCAACTTTTTCTTCTTCCTGTATCTGGGTCTCATTATCCACATCTATCACAATTTTAGTTTTCTCTTCATGATGACCATCTCCCCCATCATTTTCCTTCATCTTACGTTCCTCGTATTGTTTTCCACTCCTAAGGGTTATAGCATACACATGACCTCTGGGATTCGTCTCAGGTTGTTCAGGTAGCATGCCTGAGGCCTAGAGGAAGAGCTAGCATTTTGCGCTAATTGAGTGATTTGTGTCTCTAACATCTTGTTATGCGTAGCTAGGGAATCCATCTTAGAGGCCAATTGTTTTACTACCTCATTCGTGGTTTGTAGTTGTTGCTTAAATTCTTCATTCAATTTTGATTGAGTCATCACAAACTTCTCCATCATATTTTCCAAATTTGACTTTTGAGAAGGGAAATTGGATTGAGGAGCACGAAAACCAGGTGGACCAAAATTAGATGCGGGCATGGAATTTCCAGGTGGGTTTCTATAAGAAAAATTAGGATGATTCCTCCACCCAGGATTATAAGTGTTGGAGAATGGGTCTCCCTTCTGATTAAAGTTATTAACATAGTTAACTTGCTCATTACCAGAAGTATCAATGGATGGGGGGTTTCCTAATTGACATTGAAGTGCAGAATGACCCACATAGCCACATATCTCACATGAAATTGAAGTAGACGCCACAGAATTAATACTCAAGCCTTCAACTTTCTTAAATAAAGCATCAACTTTAGAGGATATATGGTCTAAAGCATCTATTTCATACTTGCCTCCTTTTGATGTCTGAGGAGCACGCTCGTTCGCCCATTGATAGTGATTCTGAGCCATGTCTTCAATGAGAGTGTATGCCTCGTCTATTGTTTTGTTCATCAAAGCTCCTCCTGTAGCAGCATCAACAGTCATCCGTGTGTTGTAAGTGAGCCCGTTGTAGAAGGTGTGAACAATTAACCACTTCTCCAGTCCATGGTGAGGGCACATCCTCAATAATTCCTTGTAGCGTTCCCAAGCTTCATAAAGTGACTCTCCTTCCTTCTGTACAAAGCTTGTGATCTGGTTCCTCATCTGTGCTGTTTTACTTGGAGGAAAATACTTTGCAAGAAACGCTCTGGACAATTGATCCCAAGTGGTGATGGACCCAGCTGGCAATGAGTGCAACCAAGCCCTAGCCTTGTCCCTTAGAGAGAACGGAAATAATCTGAGTCGAATAGCATCATTGGTCACTCCATTAAGTTTCAAAGTGTCACAATACTCCAAGAAAATTGACAGGTGGAGGTTAGGGTCTTCAGTAGCACCTCCTCCAAACTGATTCTGTTGAACCATTGAGAGCAGTGATGGTTTCAGCTCAAAGTTATTAGCTTCAACATTGGGCCTTGTAATGCTTGACTGTGTGCCTTGAGAATTTGGGGCTGCGAAATCCTTAAGAAGCTGATTTTGATCTCCCATCGTAGCTTGTTCTGTGTTCCTTTGCTCCCTTATAGACCTTCTTATGTTTGCAAGAGTCACCGATAGTTCAGGATTGTTTTCGTCGTTTACTTCTGTTTGATTCCCTTGCATAAAAGAAAGTGAGAAGCAAAGAGAAAAAAAAATCTAGTCTAGCTTAATAACGTAAGCACTCAATATTAACACCGTAGTCCCCGGCAACGGAGCCAAAAACTTGATGGGCAAAATCTGCAAGCGCACAGACTCGTTGTAGCTATCAAGGTCGATCCCACAGGGACTAGAGTTAATTACCAAATCTCACGTTATTCAACTAGCTAAATCAATGAGTGAATTAGAAGAGATTAAATAAAATAAAATAAAATAAACAACTAATCGGATGGAATTCAATATAATGAAGGACTAGGATTGGGTTATCACCACAACTTAGGTGTTCAATGATGAATTATTTCAATTCTTGGTGTTGGTTTAATCTAGAAAGGGTGAATTAGCCTAAATTAATCTAAAGCCTCTTTCAAGGTCTAAAGATCGTGCCTAATCAATCTCAATTAACCTAGTGGATTCACGGCAACCGGATCGTGCCGTCCACATTACACCAGTGCTTGAAGTACGTGGACGATTACGAGCGGGTAAGAACAGTAGTGGCCGACAAGCACCCCTTTAAAGGCGTCAAAAACTACTTCGCGGACTCTCTGCTGTACCAGGACCCCGACCAGCCACCAGCAGAAGAACTGGAGAGTGGCAATGAGGCAGACAGCGAGCCGGAGTACGGTGACAGCTTAATCCTGAATGACTTCGAGTCAATTGTAATTGGTTACGAGAGTCACCATGTAACCAACGCCGTTCAGGCAGAAAAGCTTATCATGAATGAGAAATCCGACTTTGCTTATTTGTCGTCTTGCTCCTCGTCCGAGGATGACGCACCTAATAACTTATGGTCGACACTCTACAGTGAGTCTTTCCTACACTTGCCGGTATGTTCGTCATACGTCGCCAAAACACAGCCGATCAAGTCATCGCAAGCTGTGTTCGTCGTGCCAGCACGGAATAGGTATCGAAAAGACATCATCTTCGGTCGAATCGATCATCCCCTACGCACGCTATGGGACGAATCTGAGGACGAAGACCCAGCGCCCCAGTTTTCGCAATACAAGTTCTCGCAATACAGTCGAGTGGCGAAACGAATGATGAGCGACATGGGGTACAACCTCACCAGCTTGGAGGGCCTAAATTACGGCCAAGGACGTAAGACGGTCATCAAACCCGCCTACGTCCCCAAAGGAAAGCCCTCAAATTACTTCAACAGGACCCGGAGAGGCTTAGGCTACTCCTCCTCTTCGTCAGATTTGTGCTTCTACGTCGACGAGGACTCCGATTATGCATGCTCGGGGGACCAATCGTCGACGACCTCGGCTTGGGACTCAGACGTCAGCGTGAGAGATCTTTTTGAAAGCCTTACAGTCAACATGGCTACAGTAGACCCCGCCGGAATGGCGGAGGACGAACAACTTCCACTCTATGATGAGACATGGGATCGCCATGTTAACGCCCAGTGGAACAGTCACTTCGAACAGCGCGAACCACCAACTGAAGACGAAGTCCTCCAGGTGAACATGGGTACTGAGGCGAATCCCAAACCCATATTCATCAGCGGCAGCCTGCCTCCTCAAGAAAAAGAGGATCTCATCGCCCTCATACGGGAATACATTGACGTCTTCGCCTGGAATTACGAGGATATGCCTGGCCTAGATCCGCGGGTCGCCACGCATCGCCTCAACATCAGCCCTGACGCCAAACCGATCAAACAACAGCAGAGGCGGTTTCGCCCCCAAATCATGGAGGCGATCGAATCTGAAGTAAAGAAGCTGATCGAATCCGGCTTCATCAGAGAGGAGCAACACCCCGACTGGGTGGCGAATATTGTTCCAGTCTTGAAGAAGAACGGCAAGATCCGCATCTGCATCGACTTTAGGAACCTCAACGCCGCATGCCCTAAAGACGAATTCCCTCTGCCCATCACGGATGTCATCATTGACAATACGTGCGGATTCGAGAGGATGTCCTTCATGGACGGCTTCTCGGGGTACAACCAAATCAAAATGCACCCCGAAGACGAGAAACACACTGCATTCAGAACTCCCATGGGGGTATTAAGCTAGAATTTATTTGAGTTTAGTTTGATTTGATTTACTCTTTGTTTACACACACAACCATTGAGCTTATTGTATTTATATTCATAGTATAATTTTGGGTTGTGGGTTTGTGACTAGGAGTTGTGCTTAATTGAGTTCTCACCTTGTTTAGAGAACAATCAATTTATTTATATTGTGCTTATTGTGAGATTCACTTTGTAATACACTTGTACACCGAGAGGAGTGTGTGGTGAGAGTCGGGGATCGTCCCAAGAGGAGTGGCGTCGGTTGACGTGCCTAGAGAGAGGTTGTAACCGAGCACTTGAGGGAGACACGGCTAGGTCCAACACTTGTGAGGGTGTAGAGTATGATTGGAGTGTGTAGAAGAAGTTCCAGCTTCCAAACCGGATTGTGTTAGTGGATTTCTCCCCGGGAGTGGGGAGCGGAGACGTAGGACAGAAGGTCCGAACTCCGTGATCATATTGCTTGTTTGAGTTTGTCTTTGACATATTTGTTTTTGCATTCATCTTACATCGCCAATTGTACATTGCTCATTTATTTCATCCACTATCTTATTGCCCTAGCCTTGTCCCTTAGAGAGAACGGAAATAATCTGAGTCGAATAGCATCATTGGTCACTCCATTAAGTTTCAAAGTGTCGCAATACTCCAAGAAAATCGATAGGTGGAGGTTCGGGTCTTCAGTAGCACCTCCTCCAAACTGATTCTGTTGAACCATTGAGAGCAGTGATGGTTTCAGCTCAAAGTTATTAGCTTCAACATTGGGCCTTGTAATGCTTGACTGTGTGCCTTGAGCATTTGGGGCTGCGAAATCCTTAAGAAGCTGATTTTGATCTCCCATCGTAGCTTGTTCTGTGTTCCTTTGCTCCCTTATAGACCTTCTTATGTTTGCAAGGGTCACCGATAGTTCAGGATTGTTTTCGTCGTTTACTTCTGTTTGATTCCCTTGCATAAAAGAAAGTGAGAAGCAAAGAGAAATAAAAAAAATCTAGTCTAGCTTAATAACGTAAGCACTCAATATTAACACCGTAGTCCCCGGCAACGACGCCAAAAACTTGATAGGGTAAATCCGCAAGCGCACGGACTCGTTGTAGCTATCAAGGTCGATCCCACAAGGACTAGGGGTTATCTACCAAGTTTCACGTTTTCAACTAGCTAAATCAATGAGTAAATTAGAAGAGATTTAATAAAAGAAATAAAATAAACAACTAATCGGATGGAATTCAATATAATGAAGGACTAGGATTGGGTTATCACCACAACTTAGGTGTTCAATGATGAATTATTTCAATTCTTGGTGTTGGTTTAATCTAGAAAGGGTGAATTAGCCTAAATTAATCTAAAGCCTCTTTCAAGGTCTAAAGATCGTGCCTAATCAATCTCAATTAACCTACTTTCGTGGAATCAAGATTAAATTAAACCCATTAAGATTTATACTAATCCAAATCAAATCCCCAAGGAATCTAGCCTACTTTCGTGGTTCGAGCTCCCTGCTTAATTTCTAGAGATCCGGTATTAATCTTCACCTTTCAGTCCTTCAATTAATTACCTATGATTGCTAATACGGTGATCAAGCGAATCAACAAAATTAAAACACTAGAAATCAAGTTCAAAGATTTAAACTTTCACCAAGAACCTATATCAATTCATCATCATGTAATTCATTATATCTTCGGTCGATTACAACAAATTCAAAAGAGATAGTCTTTTTATAAGACTTCTTTTACACAACAAAAGGAAAATTACAACTCTTGAAAAACAAACGCAGGACCGTTGTTTGGATCGCTGCTTGCGTGGGATCTTTGCCTGTGCCGGAGGCGCGTTAGCCCGTGGACCACCGAATCACAGATTCTGATTGAACCGTGAGGGGTTTAATGATTCTTCCTTCGTTTATCGAAGTAAGAATTTGAAGCGAATATCTTATCGATGTAAGATGTTCACTCTTCCAAAGATCAAGTCTGAGCTTAGATCTCTAGGACTCGCTAGAAGCTTCTTGAGGATGTTTGTGAAGAAGGAAGACTCTCTCTCTTGCTCTAATTCACCAAAACTCAAGGCTCTCTGCTCTAATCTCTCTGGAAAATGCTCAGCCCCTGTCAATGATGGCTATAGGGGGGTATTTATAGCCTCCTTAGACGATAACTGAAGAAATAGCTGGTCAATAACTGTCTCTTTAGGCGCGGCAGCTGATGCTGTCGCGGCTAAAGGGCGCGACAGTCGACACTGTCGCGGCCAAAGAGCGCGGCAGTCGACACTGCCGCGGCTAAAGGGGCAGTTACACCCACGTTCATACGTGTTTGAAACAGTTCTCCCACGACCTTTAACCACCTTTTTCGTGGTTTAACTGCTTTTCCACATCAGCACACGTTCTATTTCTGATACTCCGCCACGTGGACTTTAAATAATCATCAGATAACTGTATTATAACTGCTGTAGCATCCTGCTTTAACTGCCGCGGCACCATAGGTTGCAGCGGTTAAGCCGCGACACCATAGGCTGCCGCGCCTTAGCCGCGGCACCTTGGTCTGCCGCGCCTTAGCCGCGGCACCTTGGTCTGCCGCGCCATAGCCGCGGCACCATGTCCTGCCGCGCCGCCATATGTTGCTTGATGACGTGTATATTGTTCTTCTATATCGTCTTGAGTGGTGTTTGAATGTCTGTAAGCATTTTTTGACGCCTACATGTAGTTATTCATTTCTATCGATAATTATAACCTTATTGGAGGAATTCACAATTCATGCACTCTGTTTTTGCAGTATTAGAGGTTATTATGTATATGCTTGTTTTTTGCTAGTTAGTTATTACAAATCTAACTCATTTTTTGTATTATTACATTGACGAATTGGTGAACCATTCG